AATGGGACGGGGCTACAGGGTGGGGCTGTTATGAGAAGGGGCGGGGCTAAATTAAGGGGAGGAGGAGCTATTGCGAGAAGGGGGCGGGGTTATTGTAAGAAAGGGGCGCGGTTAAATTAAGGGCAGAGTTATTATGAGGCGGGGGCGGGGCCAACTTGCTATTGAGTTCAGAATCAGAATCTATTTATACTGCAGGAGGAATCAGATGAGCTATAAAGCTCTTTTTCACAGATGCCCTGTCACGGGGTAAGAACGTTACAACAACAAACAGTACAAAAGGTAAAGAAGTCACCCAAACACATAAAATGAAACTAAACCATCCCCATCCTTTTTTGGTTCTTTCGGTAAAGTCACGTAGAAGGGAAATACTAAAATAATAAAAAAATAAAAAAATTCTCACGATTGCAACACAAGCAATCAGGTGTGAAACCCACAGTAAGGACGTTTTGAAAAAAAGTTATGATGATTGCTTGTGTTGCAATCGAAACATCGTGAGAATTTTATTGTTTCATTATTATTATTATTTCCCTTCTACGTGGTGACTTTACCGAAAGAACCAAGAATATGAATCCCTGCAGTCACGAAAGCTTTAAATGGGAACATCCCCATCCTACCAGGCAAAGCCCACCGAGGGCATTGACTTATTAAATTTCGATTTAAAGCTTTCGTGACTGCAAGGATTCATCTTCTTTGGTTCTTTCGGTAAAGTCACGTAGAATGAGAATAAAATAATAAATTAATAAAATAAAATAACACAATAAAATTCTCACGACGTTTCGGCCACAACACAAGCGGCCCTCTTCAGGTGAAAGAAACAGACCCGTCGAGACGACAGAGCTTCAATGAACGTTGTTAAGATTCGTAACGTTCATTGAAGCTCTGTCGTCTCGACGGGTCTGTTCCTTTCACCTGAAGAGGGCCGCTTGTGTTGTGGCCGAAACGTCGTGAGAATTTTATTGTGTTATTTTATTTTATTATTTTATTCTCATTCTACGTGATTTTACCGAAAGAACCAAAGAACATTGACTTATTGTTAACGAAAGCGACCTCGCCAGAAATGATAGCTCATCGAAGTGGCGCATCATTTGTATATTTATGGCAGCGAAACTAATCTAAGTCGTCTAAACGCGTGGATGTTTTATTTATTTTTAAATGTGGAGGGAAAACCCCAGAGGACCCGGAGATGGCTGCTGCTGTTGGCGGCGATGCAACAAAAATAACAACAAAAATAATCGACTCTAAATCCGCATTCGTCCAATATAACACCGCGGTCTTTACATTCATAATCGATACCACAGGCGACGTTTCGGGGCAATGGCCCTTCTTTGGGAAGAACGACGTTGTGGGGAATGGCCCTTCTGCAGAAGAAGTTGTGGGGCAATAGTGCCACAAAAGGGCCGTTTCACGAAACGTCGACTCTTATATATTTATTTATTTCCCCGATTTAGGCCACAGCATTGGGAGCATTTTGGTGAATCTGGGGGCTGAGCCGTTCAGAGCGCGGGGCCCATAGTAAAGCTGGGCGGGGCCCAAAGGAGAGCTGGGCGGGACCGAGAGGAAATCTGGGCGGAGCCAAATGTAGGCTGGGCGGGGTTGTATCGATTTGGGAGGAGCTATTCTGTGAGTGGGCGGGGCTACAGGGGGAGTAGGCGGGGCCGTGAGACACGAGTGGAGGCATTGTGATTGGATGCATACCGGGGGGCGTCTGAGGGGCGTCTGTCAAGGGGTGACAACAACTCGACCCGTATCACGGGGGGGGGGGGGGGGGGTTACGGGAAAATACTTCAGATAAGATTTAAATATGCGTCCCGCGCATACAAACACACGACCTACATTTATATAAAGTGCGTTTAATCGCTACGAGACTGCGCCTCTGAGCTGAGGTTCGGAGAGCCGTGAGGCGCTGCAAGGATGGGTGGTGGTCGCGGGTTGCTGAGGAGATGGAGTCTGCCTCGGTGGCCCGCGATCACAAATAGCTCTTTAATTCCATCAAAAAAGTAACCTGCAGCGCCACACCTATTACCATCATTAGGGGGAAAGAACTGTGATCCAATCTCCGACCCCCAGGAACAGGTTTGCAGATTTGCTGAGCATTTCTGTGAGGTCCTGGGGGAGGCGAAATCCCTCAGCCAGGAAAACAACGCGGGACAAAGTGGGGATGACCCTGCTGAGGCTGCAGTGCCTCAAATACTGGAGGAGGAAGTCACCCCCTGTGAGTGGCTGGCTGAGGTGCCATGTGTTGAGGAAGTATTGAAGGCGATCCGGAGTCTGAGACCAGGAAAGGCAGCGGGCAGAGATGACCTCCCAAGCGAAATGCTGAGGGAGGGTGGCGTTTGTGCACAGACTGCCCTAAGTGACATCATAACAACAGTCTGGACCACTGGACGGGTTCCGCAGGATTGGAAGGATGCCCTGGTGGTCCCCCTCTTTAAGAAGGGGGACCGCACAGACTGTAACAACTATAGGGACATCTCACGCCTCAGTGTGCCGGGAAAGGTCCTGGCAAGGATTATTCAACATCGCCTTGCCAGGCACGCTGAGGAGAGGCTTGCGGAGCCCCAATGCGGTTTCAAGGAAGGGCGGTCCTGCACAGATGCCATATTTTCTGTCCGTCTGCTACAGCAGAGGTGTAGGGAATTCCAACAAGACCTACATCTCTGCTTTATTGACCTGGTCAAGGCCTATGATACCATCAGTAGGCCTGGGCTCTGGGTTGTTCTTCGTGCTGTCGGAGTCCCTGACCCTCTGCTCACGATCATTAAGGACCTTCATGATAATGAGCGGGCCCGGGTAAAACTACGTGGCCGGGAGACAGAGCAATTCCCTGTACACCTTGGGGTGCGACAGGGATGTCCTCTGGCTCCCACATTATTTAACATCTATTTTGGCCACGTAGTTCGTGAAGCCTTCAATAGCTGTACCGGAGGAATTTTCATCTGGTACAGATATAATGGGAGGCTGATCGATGCCCGGGTGTGGTCAAGGGATGGCTCCCTATTGCTCAACCATGCTATGTATGCCGATTATCTGGTAATTGCTGCTCACTCAGAGGAGAAGTTGGAGGCGCTGCTGCTGAACCTGGAGCTTGCCACCAAGAGGTGGGGCCTTACCATCAGCCCCACCAAAACGAAGCACCTGCCTGGGTATTTTGTACCATCGGACACTCCACCACCACAACTCCCAATTGGTGCTAGGGCAGTTGTGGAGAGAGTGGAGAGTTTTCCATACCTTGGCAGTGTACTCATGACCGGCTCCGGTTTAACAGCAGGTCTCACTCCGAATCAGTCGAGCGGCAATATATTTTCATCGGTTGCGTAACGCTGTGTTGAAGCTACCTGGTCTATCACTCCGCACGAAGCTTCAGGTCTTCTCGGCCACGGTCATTCCCTCCCTTCTCTATGCTTGCGAAACGTGGACCCCCCTAATGGAACATCTTCGCCAGTTAGAATCATTTAGGCTGGCCTGCCTACGATCCATCCTGGGTTTAACCAGGATGGATTGTGTGAGGAGCTCACAAATCCTTGAAAGATGTGGACAAAGTTTCATCGGTGAGCTCCTCCGGCAGGCAAGGCTGCATTGGCTGGGTCATGTAGCCCGCATGCCCAGCCACCGCATGCCTAAACAGCTATACTTCGCCGGATCGAGGGGGCTAAACGGACGCGGCACGGGCTAGAGAAGACATGGAGTGATGTGGTACAGGAGGACGTGGAGCTGAGTGGACTTGCCGATGACTGGTACCAGCGGTGTCAAGATCGGCCTCTGTGGAGGAGGCTCGTGAAGGATGCTACTGGGCAGTTGGAGGCAGTCGCCCTCCAACAACAACGGAGGGCGGAGGAGCGACGCTCACAACAACGAGCGGAGCGCCGGGTAGCTAAAGCACAGGAAGTTGGCACAGTAGGAGGCACAGGTGGTGCATCAGCCAGTCATCTTAGTCAGTTGACCCGTGGCACTTGGGTCTGCCCCATGACCTCCTGCTCGCGGGCGTTCGACACTTCACGTGGCCTCAAGTTGCACATGGCCTGGCACAAGCGTCGTGGTGACGTCACAGCCACTTAGTGGCGAATGGCGATTGTTGTTGTGTGGTGTTGTGGTGGTGTGCGGGTGGTGGTGTGGTGGTGTGGTGGTGTGCGGGTGGTGGTGTGGTGGTGTGCGGATGGTGGTGTGCGGGTGGTGGTGTTGTGGTGTGCGGGTGGTGGTGTGGTGGTGTCGTGGTATGCGGGTGGTGGTGTGGTGGTGTGCAGGTGGTGGTGTGCGGGTGGTTGTGTGGTGGTGTGCGGGTGGTGGTGTGGTGGTGTGCGGGTGGTGGTGTGGTATGCGGGTGGTGGTGTGGTGGTGTGCGGGTGGTGGTGTGCGGGTGGTTGTGGTGGGCTAGGGGTGTGCTGGTGGTGGTGTGCGGGTGCTGGTGTGGTGGTGTGCGGGTGGTGGGGTGGGGGTGTGGGTGTGGGTGTGGTGGAGTGGTGGTGTGTGGGTGGTGGTGTGTCGGTATGGGGAGCGGTAGTGTAGCGGTTAGCGCTACACTGCGTTACGAACCTGGCGACCCGAGTTCGATTCCCGCTCTCGTCCAAAATTAGTGACGACTATCAGAACCGGTCCTGGGCCTCCCCGAGGTCGACTCAGCCTCAAATGAGTATGTGGTGCGGTGTGTAGTAAACATCGCCACTGGGGAGACAAAGGCGGTCGGGCGTGGTGCTGGGCACCCACCCCCTCGTGTGCCGTTCCGGCCTTCATAGGTGCTCGCTAATAGCACTTTCCCTAACAGTATGTTAAGGCTATACAGGGGATCTTTGGTGTGGCGGTGGTGGGGGTGTGGCGGTGGTGGGGGTGTGGCGGTGGTGGGGGTGTGGCGGTGGTGGGGGTGTGGCGGTGGTGGGGGAGTGGCGGTGGTGGGGGTGTGGCGGTGGTGGGGGTGTGGCGGTGGTGGGGGTGTGGACTTTAAGCACAAGGGTGGGGTCTCTGCCGCTGGACCTCCCTGCCGCTGGACCTCCCTGCCCGTGTGCCAGAGACGCCGTGAGACCCCGAGAGAGAGAGACAGCCGGCTCGAGATGTCGAATCTCTTGAGTGAGGATGTGCCCGACATTGAGGTACGTGATACTTGCCCCCCTCCCCCTGCTATGAGGTGGGGGGCAACGTGTTGAGTGTGTCGTGGGGTGTGTTGTGGTGTGTGAGCGGTTGTGTCGTGGGTGTGTTTGTGGGGTGTGTTAGCGGTTGTGTCGTGGGGTGTGTTGTGGTGTGTGAGCTGTTGTGTCGTGGGGTGTGTTGTGGTGTGTTAGCGGTTGTGTCGTGGGGTGTGTTGTGGTGTGTGAGCTGTTGTGTCGTGGGGTGTGTTGTGGTGTGTGAGCTGTTGTGTCGTGGGGTGTGTTGTGGTGTGTGAGCTGTTGTGTCGTGGGGTGTGTTGTGGTGTGTGAGCTGTTGTGTCGTGGGGTGTGTTGTGGTGTGTGTGAGCTGTTGTGTCGTGGGGTGTGTTGTGGTGTGTTAGCGGTTGTGGTGTGTTAGCGGTTGTGTCGTGGGGTGTGTTGTGGTGTGTGTTAGCGGTTGTGTCGTGGGGTGTGTTGTGGTGTGTGTGAGCTGTTGTGTCTTGGGGTGTGTTGTGGTGTGTTAGCGGTTGTGGTGTGTTAGCGGTTGTGTCATGGGGTGTGTTGTGGTGTGTGTTAGCGGTTGTGTCGTGGGGTGTGTGAGCTGTTGTGTCGTGGGGTGTGTCGTGGGGTGTGTGAGCTGTTGTGTCGTGGGGTGTGTTGTGGTGTGTGAGCTGTTGTGTCGTGGGGTGTGTTGTAGTTGCGGGGTTCGCGCGCTGCGCTATGAACCCGGCGAAGAGCCCGGAGACACGACGAGACACGAGACACGAGACGTGGTGAGACACGAGACACGAGATGTGGTGAGACACGAGACGTGGTGAGACACGAGACGTGGTGAGACACGAGACGTGGTGAGACACGAGACGTGGTGAGACACGAGACACGACGAGACACGACGGGACACAGTTGATACGCGATTAGAAACTGTACACGCAAAACAAACCGGCGCAGGACAGGACAGGTGAGAGAACGCAGAGAGACGCAACAATGAACAACGTTGCGCGTGTGGGGGGTACACGTGGAGCGGTGGTGTCACGTGGAGCGGTGGTGTCACGTGGAGCGGCGGTGTCACGTGGAGCGGCGGTGTCACGTGGAGCGGTGGTGGTACACGTGGAGCGGTGGTGGTACACGTGGAGCGGTGGTGTCACGTGGAGCGGTGGTGTCACGTGGAGCGGTGGTGTCACGTGGCGAGCGCTACGCCGCGCTCCGGACACAGCGACTCCCCGAGTTCGATCCCCGCTCACGGCCAACATCGGTGACGATCATCTGAACCGGTTCCTAAGCCTCCCCTAGGTCTACTCGGCCTCAGATGAGTACCTGGTGCGGTGCGTTACGAATCGGTCCACGCAGGCTCACGGCCAACATCGGTGACAATTATATAAACAGGTCCTGAGCCTCCCCTAGGTCGACTCTGACTCAAAATGAATACCCTATGCGGTACGTAGTAAACATCGTCACGAGGGAGACAAAGGCGGTCGGGCGTGGTGCTGGCTGCCGTGCCGGCCTTCATTGGTACCGCTCCAGCACTTGCCCCAACAGTCCGTTTGGGCTGTTGACCAAGGTGTTGGTGTGTTGAGTGAAGTTTACGTTGCTCGTTTTATAGTCCGTATGTATGTTGCCGTATGTTGAACTTATTTCGCACCGCACGTAGCCGCCACCGTGCTAATCGGAGGTCCAAGTGTAACATATGGAACAATGACCTCCTTATCTGAGAGAGTCGGTCTAACCCAGACATGGGCTATGTAACGTTATATCGACGGTCATACAACTCACAACTCGATATTTAATACATTACTTTACCGAAAGAACCAAGAATATGAATCCCTGCAGTCACGAGAGCTTTAAATCAACATTATTATTAGTTTCTGTCACGAGCTACGGTTAATTCTGGCTCCCTATGGGACTGCCGTCTGTGCTCGTGTGTGCTAAATTGTTTGTTAAACTGAGCGAAGGCGCTCTATATTTATACATTAGATGCGAGTGAGTGAGCGAGCGTAACAGTGGGGAGCGGCAGCGCTGCGCTCCCGAACCGCTCTGTGACCCGAGTTCGATTCCCGTTCATGGCCACCAACATCAGTGACGATTGTCTGAAGCCAGTCCCGAATCCCTGGTGCGGTATTAAACGTCGCCACTGGGGGAGACAAAGGCGGCCAGGCGCGGGGTGCTGGCCACCAAACCCCCTTCGTGTGCCCGCGCCGGCATTCCTCGGCGCTGTCGCTCGCGAGCAACACTTGTCCCCAGGAATCTGTCGAGGCTCACGATCTTGGTCTTGTTGATTGTTGGTAGTCGGGGGTCTGTGGGGCCCCCTGGACTTTGTCTGGAGGGAGGCAGAGGGGGGGGGGGGGTGGTGGCATTCTGTCCCAGCGCTCCGCTGCCGCGCAGAGTTCACGGCTGAGCTGTCGTTATGTTAAAGCTACCGTACGCCTGGGGTTCAGCCAGCTCGCTGCGAGGGGGGCCTGCTCATCGGCACACAGGTGGGACACAGGTGGGACACAGGTGTAAGGAGGAGGAGGCTCGTGAAGGACGCGGCTGGTCAATTAAAGGCAGTCGCCCTCCCAACAAAACCAATGGAGGGCAGAGAGGAGCGACGCTCACAACAACGAGTGGGGGAGTACCGGGCGGCTGAACACATAGCGAGTGGGTACGGTCGGGGGTTCACCCGTGGTGCGTCTGCCGGTCTCTCTCAGTGGGTCAGACCCATGGCGCCTGCTGGGTCTGTCCCGTGCCCTCCCGTCAGCAGCGAGCCCTTCGACACGTCACGTGGCGGCCTCAAGGTGCACGTGGCCTGGCGTAGTCGCCGCGGTGACGCCGCCATCACCCTTTAGTGGGCGAGTGGCGGCTGTCGACGTGTGTAAGGGTCCGTCCATAAATGACGTCACGCGCCTAGGGGGGGGGGCGGGGGTCAGACATTTGTGACGAGGGGGGGGGGGGTTTGAGAAATGTGACGTCACATCAAAATGCGCAACTTTAAATAAACATAGACAACACGTTCTACTTAATTAAATAGACTTTTTAATAAATGTTTTCTCCTACAACATCAGAGTGCAGCGCCACATTGAATACGCACTACAATGACAATAGTTTAAAGCTATTTGAAGCATGTTTTATTTTTTGGGGTGGGGATGGGGGGGCAGAGCTTTGTGCCGTCATATTTGAGGGGTGGGGTCTGACTTTTTGTGACGCCGTTTAACGAAGAGGGGGGGGTGGGTGTGGTCAAAAATCGTCCACAATCGCGTGACGTCATTTATGGACGGCCCCGAAGTGGACATATTGGCGGTACCTCACCGGTGCGGCATAACAACACCAGGCCTCGTAAAACAGTCTGAAGATGTCCACTGTTGCCCGTTGCAGAGACCCATCGTCAGAAGGAAGTTGCCACTTACATTCAGCAGCTGCTGTGCCCCCGTTCGAGCGTCTGGTGGTGGTGGTGGTGGTGGTGACGACACGGCGATTTATGATCTCTTTTGATGGTCACCGTCCGACAACAAACGATTCCGGGAGAAATGAATCTAGGAGGAACCCGTCCAACCGAGCCTAGGGCCAAGGGGGAGGACAAATCTTGCCGCCTTTGGGACGACGGAGCCAGCCAAATCGGCGTCAGGGCTGGGTTGCTGCTGCTAGTGCGGCAATGGACTGTGATGCTTCGTGTTCAGCTGGCCGGCTTGTAGACACAAACGTTCCGTCTTCCTACTGCTTCAACATCCCGAGAACGGATTTTGGCTCGCACCACAACCACCACCACCACCACCACCACAACCACCACCACAACCACCACCTTCACCCGCTCACCCACCCACCCTGCAAGATTTTCTGATGGGCAGTTGCAAATCGCAGGAAAAGTAAATAATTATTGGGAAAATTCGTATTTAAAAAAAAAAACTCATACACCGCAGACCATCGGTGTAAGCACCAATAACGTTGAGTTGGCGAGCGCGTGAGAGGTGACGGTGCGGCCGGGTGACCCCGTGACCCCGTGACCCCGTGACCCCCCCCCCCCGGCGCAGGCTCTGCTGCACCTGAACCCGCGGGTCGCCACCTCCGCCAAGCTGCGCTCCACCACGGCAGCGCAGAGCGCCAAGAGGCACTGGAAGAGAAACTCGGCCAAGGGAGGGTGCGACGTGAGTGCTTTCTCACCGCTCCCCTCACCACTCCCCTCACCACTCCCCTCACCACTCCTCATCCTCACCACTCCTCACCGCTCCCCTCACCGCTCCTCCTCCGCCGCTCCTCCTCACCGCTCCTCACCACTCCTCACCACTCCTCACCGCTCCTCCTCACCACTCCTCACCGCTCCTCTTCTCCGATCCTCACCACTCCTCACCGCTCCTCCTCACCACTCCTCACCACTCCTCACCGCTCCCCTCACCACTCCCCTCACCACTCCTCATCCTCACCACTCCTCACCGCTCCTCCTTTCCGATCCTCACCACTCCTCACCGCTCCTCCTCACCGCTCCTCACCACTCCTCACCACTCCTCCTCACCACTCCTCACCACTCCTCCTTACCACTCCTCACCACTCCTCACCGCTCCTCACCACTCCTCACCACTCCTCCTTACCACTCCTCACCGCGCAACTCACATTAGTGTGGTTGGCTACGTCTGACACAAAAGAAGACCAACATACATGAAGACTGACACCGATCCAAAGACGAACCCCAACTCTACCTTGGCGCTAACCCCAGTCAAACAACATCTTCTACAAAATGACCAAAAATAAAATCTGCCTCGTGCACTTCCTCCAGCTCTCCCTGGGAGTGCGTGAACGAATCCCATGAGGCTCCCTGTACATGCCACTCCTCACCACTCCTGTTCCTCAATCGACCTCTTCACTACCTCCTCACTCCACCACCTCTTCCTCCTCACTCCTCTTCACGTCTACACCACCACCACCACCTCCCTCGCCTGGTGTACAGGAGGTCGTGGGTTTAGTCCTGACCCTGACGCCTGCTGCTGCTGCATATTTGGAGTTTGTGTGTCTCTCTCTCTCCCTGTGGTGAGATGTTAACTACCTCGCCTAGTATACAGGAGGTCGTGGGTTAAATCATGACCTTGACGCCTGCTGCTGTATATTTGGAGTTTGCGTGTCTCTCTCTGTGGTGAGAAGTTAACTACCTCGCCTTGTGTACAGGAGGTCGTGGGTTAAATCCTGACCCTGACGCCTGCTGCTGTATATTTGGAGTTTGCGTGTCTCTCTCTGTGGTGAGATGTTAACTACCTCGCTTGGTGTACAGGAGGTCGTGGGTTAAATCCTGACCCTGACACCTGCTGCTGTATATTTGGAGTTTGCGTGTCACTCTCTCTCCCCGTGGTTGCGTGGATTTGTCTCCGGCTTCTCCGATGTCCCCCTCCACGTTTAGAATCAACGTCACGCGTTTAGGATTTTTGGATGCTGCTATACATTTCCAGGTTATAATAAGCCACTTCGTTGAGCTATCGTTGGTGGCCATGTTGCTTCTGAAAAAGAGCCACAATATGGGGGCCATCCATTGAGTAGGTAGCAAAAATCTGTCAAAACTTGACCCCTCCCCCCCTCCCTGTACTCACGCGGACTTTTTACAACCCCCCCCCCTCACCTGCGTACGTGCGCCTGACGCACCCCCCTCAGACCCCCCGAATCCTATAGAACGGCCAATATTTAATCCGTGCAGAAACGATCAAGGATTAATAATATTAACGTGTTTAAGCAAACTCATAGTCCACCTTGCACAATCTAACTCATTTGAAGGCCAATGTAGACAAATTATTATTATTATCGAGGCTTCACCCCCCCCCTCCCCGTTTCCTATGCGTACGTACATTGTCAGTAGACCCCCCATTCGCAAGCGTACGCATTTGGGTTAACCCCCCCCCCTCCATGCGTACGTACTAAATGGATGGCCCCACATCTGAGCGGGGCCTTACCTGGTAAAATAAATGAAATAGTAATGGTTACTCTTTGGTTCTTTCGGTAAAGTCACGTAGGTATAAAAATAAAATAAAACGGAAAATAAATCACGACGTTTCGATCGCTACACAAAGCGGCCGTCCTCGGGCGTAAGAAAATAATCCAGCAGTGGAAACAGCCGAGCCAGCGCTGAGGACGACCGCTTGTGTTGCCATCGAAACGTCGCGCTATGTTATTTTTCGTTTGATTCTTCTACCTGCCTACCTACCTACCTACGTGACTTCACCGAAAGAATCAAAGAGTGTGGATTCCTGCAGTCGCGACAGCTTCAAATCAAGATCGTCATGGTCACTTCGAGAGCCTCTGTTGTCCCGCTGTCGCCCAGACGTGCGAGTCCTTGGAGAAGAACTTTGAGGACATAAAGCACACGACGCTGGGAGAGAGGGGGGCTCTGCGTGAGGCATCCAGGTACCGCCAGCACACACCGCGGACGAAGATCTCCCTTGCGGCCCACACAGGCTGCTGGGACAAGTGCCGTCAGCGAGCACCTGTGAAGGCCGGCACGTGCGCATCCAATGAGGGGGTGGGGTATGGCCGCGCTCGGCCGCCTTTGTCTCCCTTGCGCTGATGTTCACGCCATGCAGCAGCTGCTCATTTAAGGCTGAGTCAACCTAGGGGAGGCCAGAAGCGGTTTAGATTATCACCGGTCACCGCTGGGTGGGAGTTGAAGCCAGGCCGCCGGGTTCGCAGTGCAGTTCACCGACTGCTGTCCCACCACTTGCATAACGTATTTGCGCACGCACGCACGCACCATGGAATGTTACGATATCGTAGAGGTCACGGCGAGGCTACGAGAGGGGGGGGGAGGGGTCACGAGGGTGAGGGTCGTCGCGGAGGTCGCGGTGAGGACCCCTGACTCCGAGGGGGTTGGGGGGGCTGCCCGTGCCGCCCGTGCCCAGGTGCCTGAAGTGTGTGGACGCGCCGTGCCAGAAGAGTTGCCCCACCCAGATCGACGTGAAGGCCTTCATCACCAGCATCGCCAACAAGGTGAGTCTCGTCCTCAACCCCTCTGACCTTCATCACCAGCGTCGCCAGCCCCTCCCCTTGACTGCCTTGGGGGCCGTCCATAAATGACGTCACGCGATTTTTGACGATTTTGGACCCCCCCCCCCCACTCGTCACACGGCGTCACAAAAAGTCAGACCCCCCACCTCGAATATGACGTCACAAAGCTCTGCCCCCCCCCCTCAAAAACCATATTTCCATTTTGAAAACATGCTTCAAATCGCTTTAAACTATTGTCATTGTAGAAGAAAACACTTATTAAAAAGTATATTTAATTAAGTAGAACGTATTCTTAGTTTTTTCGGTAAAGTCACGACGTCAAAACGTCGTGAGAAGTTTTTTATTGTTTTATATATATATTTTATTATTTTGTTGTTTCCCTTCAACGTGACTTTACCGAAAAAACTAAGAATATGAATTACTGCAGTCACGAAAGCTTTAAATCAAAATTTAAGCAGAACGTGTTGTCTATATTGATTTAAAGTTGCCCATTTTGATGTGACGTCACATTTCTCAACCCCCCCCCCACCCCTCGTCACACATCGTCACAAATGTCTGACCCCCCCCCCCTCCTAGGTGCGTGACGTCATTTATGGGCGGCCCCTTACGCCATTATTGATCTTGCGGCGTGATGTGGGGACGGCGGTCTTGGCTTTCACCGCTAAACCTTGGGGGGCGGCGGGGGAGCAGGGCAGGGAGGGGAGTGTGGGGTGTGTGACGTCACTAGGGGCCGCAGTGGGGGGGGGGGGGGGGGCACGTGGACTACCCGGAATGAAAGGTCCAGAACTCCACAACTGCACGTGGCTGTGAACTTTGGCCCCGGGCAGAGAGCTGGAGCAATACATCCCTACACAGAGTGCACCCCAGTGTACCCCTTCACAGAGTGCACCCCAGTGTACCCATACACAGAGTGTACCCCAGTGTACCCCTTCACAGAGTGTACCCCAGTGTACCCCTACACAGAGTGCACCCCAGTGTACCCCTTCACAGAGTGTACCCCAGTGTACCCCTTCACAGAGTGCACCCCAGTGTACCCCTTCACAGAGTGTACCCCAGTGTACCCCTTCACAGAGTGTACCCCAGTGTACTCCTACACAGAGTGCACCCCAGTGTACCCCTATACAGAGTGTCTCCCAGTGTACCCCTTCACAGAGTGCACCCCAGTGTACCCCTACACAGAGTGTACCCCAGTGTACCCCTACACAGAGTGCACCCCAGTGTACCCCTTCACAGAGTGCACCCCAGTGTACCCCTACACAGAGTGCACCCCAGTGTACCCCTTCACAGAGTGCACCCCAGTGTACCCCTTGTGTCTCCGTGTCTTCCCGTGTGTCTTCCCGTGTGTCTTCCCGTGTGTCTCCCTGTGTCTCCCTGTGTCTCCCCGTGTGTCTCTCTGTGTCTCCTCGTGTGTCTCCGCGTGTCTCCCTGTGTGTCTCCCCATGTGTCTCCCTGTGTCTCCCTGTGTCTCCCCGTGTGTCTCCCTGTGTCTCCCCGTGTGTCTCCCCATGTGTCTCCCTGTGTCTCCCCGTGTCTTCCCGTGTGTTCCCGTGTGTCTCCCTGTGTGTTTCCGTGTCTCCCCGTGTGTCTCCCTGTGTCTCCCCGTGTGTCTCCCTGTGTCTCCCCGCGTGTCTCCCTGCGTCTCCCCGTGTGTCTCCCCGCGTGTCTCCCCGCGTGTCTCCTCGCGTGTCTCCCCGCGTGTCTCCCCGCGTGTCTCCCCGCGTGTCTCCCTACGTCTCCCCGCGTCTCTCCCCGCGTCTCTCCCCGCGTCTCTCCCCGCGTGTCTCCCCGTGTGTCTCCCCGAGTGTCTCCCCACGCCTCCCCATGTGGGCTCCCCCTCCTGCCCCCACTTCGTCCGCTAGAACTACTATGGAGCGGCGCGCGCCATCCTGTCGGAGAACCCGCTGGGGCTGTCGTGCGGCATGGTGTGCCCCACGTCCGACCTGTGCGTGGGGGGCTGCAACCTCTACGCCACCGAGGAGGGGCCCATCAACATCGGGGGGCTCCAGCACTTCGCTACCGAGGTGCGTGCTCACCAATGGAGGGGGGGGGGGGGGTGGAGGCGTGGGATATGGGGAACGTGGTGGTGCCAGGGACGTGGGGGTATGGGGGGGACGGGGGTACACGGGACATAGGGCAAACGGGCAGGGAGATACGGGGATACCAGCGGTTTTGTTCATACACTGGGTGGGGGTCTTGGACTTGGGGTGTGTGAATGTGTGTGTGTGGAGAGCTGATCGATGCCCGGGTGCGGTCAAGGGATGGCTCCCTATTGGTCAACCACGTTATGTATGCTGATGATTTGGTAATAGCTGCTCAATCAGAGGAGGAGTTGGAGACGCTGCTGCTGAGACTGGAGCGTGCCACTAAGAGGTGGGGCCTTACCATCAGCCCCACCAAAACTAAGCACCTGCCTGGGTATTTTGTACCATCGGACACTCCACCCCCACAACTCCCAATCGGTGATGGGGCAGTTGTGGAGAGAGTGGAGAGTTTCCCATACCTGGGTAGTGTGCTTATGACTGGCTCCAGTTTAACAGCAGAGGTCTCACTCCGAATCAGTCGAGCGGCAATATCTTTTCATCGGTTGCGTAACGCTGTGTGGAAGCTACCTGGTCTGTCGCTCCGCACTAAGCTTCAGGTCTTCTCGGCAACGGTCATTCCCTCCCTTCTCTACGCTTGCGAAACGTGGACCCCCCTAATGGAACATCTTCGCCGGTTAGAAACATTTAGGCTTGCCTGCCTACGATCCATCCTGGGTTTAACCAGACTGGATTGTGTGAGGAGCTCACAAATCCTTGAAAGATCTGGGCAAGGTCCCATCGGTGAGCTCCTCCGGCGGGCAAGGCTGCGATGGCTGGGTCATGTAGCCCGCATGCCCAGCCAACGCATGCCGAAACAGCTTTTGTTCGGCCGGATTGAGGGGGCTAAGCGGGCGCGGCACGGGCTAGAGAAGAGATGGAGTGATGTGGTACGTGGAGCTGAGTGGACTTGCCGATGACTGGTACCAGTGGTGTCAAGATCGACCTCTGTGGAGGAGGCTCGTGAAGGATGCTACTGGGCAGTTGGAGGTAGTCGCCCTCCAACAACAACGGAGGGCGGAGGAGCGATGCTCACAACAACGAGCGGAGCGCCGGGTGACTAAAGCACAGCAGGTTGGCACAGTAGGGGGCACAGGTGGTGCATCAGCCAGTCATCTCAGTCAGTCGACCCGTGGCACCTGGGTCTGCCCCGTGACCTCCTGCCAGCGGGCGTTCGACACTTCACGTGGCCTCAGGGTGCACATGGCCTGGCACAAGCGTCGTGGTGACGTCACCGCCACTTAGTGGCGAATGGCGGTTGTTGTTGTTGTTGTTGTGCGGGGAGCGGTAGCGTAGTGGTTAGCGCTACACTGCGCTACGAACCCGGCGACCCGAGTTCGATTCCCGCTCACAACCACCAACACCGGTGACGAATATCTGAGCCGGTCATGGGCCTCCCCTAGGTCGATTCAGCCTCAAATTAGTACCTGGTGCGGTGTGTAGTAAACATTGCTACTGGGGAGACTAAGGTGGCCGGGCGTGGTGCTGTTTACCCGCCACCCTCGTGTGCCGTGCCGGCCTTCATAGGTGCTCGCTAACAGCACTCGCCTCAAAAGTATCTTGAGGCTACACGGGGGATCTTTGTCTTTCTGAGCACGTGCGTGCGTGTACGTGTGTGTGTGTGTGTACGTGTGCGTGTCAGTCAGAGTTGCAGTTCCACGATCTCTACGAACCCGGTTTGACTCCCGACCGTGGCCCCCCCCCCCCTCCACTCCCCCTCTCCCCCAAGGTGTTCCGCCTCATGGGGGTCCCTCAGGTGTGGGACCCGGCGCTGCCCCCCGTGGAGTCGCGGGCGGCCGCATTTGGCGAGCGCGTGGCCCTGCTGGGCTGCGGTCCGGCCAGCATCAGCTGCGCGTCGTTCCTGGCGCGGCTCGGCTACTCGCACCTCACCGTGTACGAGCGCGCCGACTACACCGGAGGGCTGAGGTGCGACCCGCTCACTCGCTTGCTCACTCGCTCACATACTCACTCGCTCACATACTCACTCGCTCACATACTCACTCGCTCACATACTCACTCGCTCACATACTCACTCGCTCACATACTCACTCGCTCTCTCACTCACTCTCTAACTCGCTTACTCGCTCACTCGCTTGCTCACTCGCTCGGTTACTCTCCCGCATATTCACTCACGCACTCGTTCGCGCACTCACATGCCCATTGGATAACTCGCTCGCGCACTTGCTCACTCGCTCACACACTCACTCGCTCACATACTCACTCACATACTCTCTCACTCTCTCACTCACTCGCTCACATACTCACTCGCCCTCTCACTCACTCGCTCACATACTCACTCGCTCACATACTCACTCGATCACATACTCACTCGCTCACATACTCACTCACTCTCTCACTCACTCTCTCACTCACTCTCTAACTCGCTTACTCGCTCACATACTCACTCGCTCACATACTCACTCGTGCACTTGCTCACTCGCTCACATGCTCACTCGCTCACATACTCACTCGCTCACATACTCACTCGCTCTCTCACTCACTCGCTCAAATACTCACTCGCTCACATACTCACTCGCTCACATACTCACTCGCTCACATACTCACTCGCTCACATACTCACTCACTCACATACCCACTCGCTCTCTCACTCACTCTCTAACTCGCTTACTCGCTCACTCGCTCACATATTCACTCGCTCGCTCACTCTCTAACTCGCTCACATATTCACTCGCTCGCTCGCTCATTTTCTCGCTTAATCACGGACTCTCTCACTCGCTCACTCATACCTCGCACCTTGCAGTACTCCGCAAGCGGTGGTGCAGTGGCTAACGCACTGCGCTACGAACCCGGGGACCCGAGTTGAACTGGTCTTGGGCCTCCCCTAGGTCGACTCGGCATTAAATCAGTACCTGGCACGGTGCGTAAAAAAAACATCAGTACTGAGTAGACCAAGGCGGCCGCACGTGGCGCGACCCACCACAACGCCCCCTCGTGTGCCGTGCCGGCCTTCATCGGTGCTACTCGCTAACGGCACTTGCCCCAGCAGCCAGCGTTGGCTACACGGGGGACCTTTGCCTGTGTCCGTGTGAGCGCAGCGCGTCGGAGATCCCGCAGTTCCGCCTGCCGCTGGAGGCCGTGCGCTTCGAGGTTCGGCTCATGCAGGACCTGGGCGTCAAGGTAAACTAAAATTTAACTGAAACTATTTTGATTTAAAGCTTTCGTGACTGCAGTAATTCATGTTCTTAGCTCTTTTGGTAAAGTCACTTTGAAGGGAAACAATAAAATAATAAATTTTATTATTTTATTGTTTCCCTCCAACGTGACTTTACCGAAAGAGCTAAGAATATAAAACTATTTTATTTTATTTTACCAGATAAGGCCCACTGAGCTGTTATATAGAGCTCTCTTTCAGGAGTGTGGTTGACTGTGGTTGAGTGTGATTAACTGGTTGTGGTTGCAGGTTGACTGTGGTTGTGGTTGCAGGTTGAGTGTGGTTGCAGGTTGACTGTGGTTGTGGTTGCAGGTTGAGTGTGGCCGTGCTCTGGCTGTGGGAGACCTGACGCTCGAGTCTCTGCGAAAGGACGGATTTGCAGCGGTGTTCATCGGCATCGGTACAACCACAACCACAATCATGAACCACCACAACCACAATCATGAACCACAACCACCACCACCACAACTATCACAACTCCTCACGCCTCCTCCATTCCTCTTCCTCAAATTGTCACCTGCTCTTCCCGCGGCCCCCTCCCTTCTCACCCATGCCCCCCGCCCTCTTTCTCACCCCGCCCCCTCCCCCACCCGTCACCTCGTCGCTGCGCGTCATTGCTCAGGGCTGCCGGAGCCCACGGTGGCTCCGCTCTTTGAGGGCCTCACGGAGGAGCAGGGCTTCTTCACCTCCAAATCCTTCCTGCCACGCGTCGCCAAGGCCAGCAAGCCCGGTACACGCCGACCCCCAACTCTGCACCCCCCCTCCCGGCCGCCTTTGTCTCCCCCATTGGGCGATGTTCCGCTCCACTGATGTGCCCCCCGTGTCTCCCACGTCCCCCGTGCCCCCCCCCCCCACCCTCTCCATTCCCGTTGCTGAGCGCGCACCTCGGTAGCGAAGTGCTGGAGCCCCCCCCCGATGTTGATGGGCCCCTCCTCGGTGGCGTAGAGGTTGCAGCCCCCCACGCACAGGTCGGACGTGGGGCACACCATGCCGCACGACAGCCCCAGCGGGTTCTCCGACAGGATGGCACGCGCCGCTCCATAGTAGTTCTAGCGGACGGAGTGGGGGAAGGAGGGGGAGCCCACATGGGGAGGCGCGGGGAGATACGCGGGGAGAGACACGGGGAGAGATACGGGGAGACACGCGGGGAGAGACACACGGGGAGAGATACGCGGGGAGAGACACGTGGGGAGAGACACACGGGGAGAGATACGGGGAGACACGCGGGGAGAGACACGCGGGGAGAGACACGCGGGGAGAGACACGCGGGGAGAGACACGCGGGGAGAGACACGCGGGGAGAGACACGCGGGGAGAGACACGCGGGGAGAGACACGCGGGGAGAGACACGGGGTTTGATTCCCACTCACGGCCAACACCACTGACGATTATGTGAACCTGTCATGGGCCTCCCCTAGGTCTAAAATTAGTACCTTGTGCGATGAGTGTAAACATTGCCATCGGGGAGACAAAGGCGGCCGGGCGTGGTGCTGTCTCCCTTTGTGTGCGCCACCGTGGCGGCCTTCATAGGCACTGCCACTCGCTAGCAGCGCTTGCCCCCAGCAGTCTGTTAAAGGCTACACGGGGGGCGGGGGCGGGGGAGGGAGACCTTTATCTTTACGTAACACGCGTGTTCGTGCGTGTTCGTGCGTGTGAGTGCAGGCCTGTGTGGGTGCACGTCCCCGCAGCTGCCCGTGCTACGCGGCGTGGTGCTGGTGCTGGGCGCGGGCGACACGGCGTTCGACTGCGCCACGTCGGCGCTGCGCTGCGGTGCGCGCCGCGTGCTCGTCGCGTTCCGCCGTGGCTTCACCAACATGCGCGCCGTGCCCGAGGAGGTGCACAGTCATCATCGCCGCCGCAGTCGTCATCATCAACAGCATTGTCATCATCGTCATCGTCACCATCATCACCACCATCATCATCATCATCACCATCATCATCACCACCACCACCACCATCATCATCATCACCACCACCACCACCATCATCACCACCACCACCATCACCACCACCATCATCACCACCACCACCACCGTCATCATCATCATCACCACCACCACCACCATCATCATCATCACCACCACCACCATCACCACCACCACCATCACCACCACCACCATCATCACCACCACCGTAATCATCATCACCACCACCACCGTAATCATCATCACCACCACCACCGTAATCATCATCACCACCACCACCGTCATCATCATCATCACCACCACCACCGTCATCATCATCATCACCACCACCACCGTCATCATCATCATCACCACCACCACCGTCATCATCATCATCACCACCACCACCACCACCGTCATCATCATCATCACCACCACCACCGTCATCATCATCATCACCACCACCGTCATCATCATCATCATCACCACCGTCATCATCATCACCACCGTCATCATCATCATCACCACCACCACCGTCATCATCATCATCACCACCACCACCGTCATCATCATCATCACCACCACCACCATCATCACCACCACCACCACCATCATCACCACCACCACCACCATCATCACCACCACCGTCATCATCATCATCACCACCACCACCATTATCATCATCACCACCACCATCATCATCATCACCACCACCACCATCATCATCATCATCACCACCACCATCATCAGCACCACCGTCCTCATCACCACCACCACCACCACCACCGTCATCATCACCACCACCACCACCACCGTCATCATCACCACCACCACCACCACCACCATCATCATCACCACCACCACCGTCATCATCACCACCACCACCGTCATATTACCACCACCACCACCACCACCGTCATCACCACCACCACCACCACCGTCATCACCACCACCACCGTCGTCATCATCACCACCACTGTCGTCATCATCATCACCACCACCGTCGTCATCATCATCACCGTCGTCATCATCATCACCACCACCGTCGTCATCATCATCACCACCACCGTCATCACCACCACCGTCATCATCATCATCACCACCACCACCGTCATCATCATCATCACCACCACCATCACCACCACCACCATCATCACCACCACCACCACCACCACCGTCGTCACCACCACCACCACCGTCGTCATCATCATCATCACCACCACCGTCGTCATCATCATCATCACCACCACCGTCGTCATCATCATCACCACCACCGTCGTCATCATCATCACCACCACCGTCATCGTCATCATCATCACCACCACCGTCATCGTCATCATCATCACCACCACCGTCATCATCACCACCACCGTCATCATCATCACCACCACCGTCATCATCATCATCACCACCACCGTCATCATCATCATCATCACCACCACCACCACCACCACCGTCATCATCATCACCACCATCATCACCACCACCACCACCACCATCATCATCACCGCCATCACCACCACCACCACCACCATCATCACCACCATCACCATCACCACCACCATCATCACCATCACCACCACCACCACCATCACCACCATCATCATCACCACCACCACCACCACCACCGCCACTACCACCACCTCCACCGCCATGACCACCACCACCATCATCACCATCACCACCATCACCACCACCATCACCACCACCATCATCACCATCACCACCACCATCACCACCATCATCATCACCACCACCGCCACTACCACCACCATCACCACCACCACCATCACCACCACCACCACCATCACGACCACCATGTCACCATGACCCCGTGACCCCTTGTTGTGTCCCCGTCCCCCCCCCCACGTGGTGTCTCTGCGTGTCCCTGTGTGTCCCCGTGTGGTGTCCCCCCGCGTGGTGTCCCCCCGCGTGGTGTCTCTGCGTGGTGTCTCTGTGTGTCCCCGCGTGGTGTCCCCGCGTGGTGTCTCTGCGTGGTGTCCCCGCGTGGTGTCCCCGCGTGGTGTCTCTGTGTGTCCCCGCGTGGTGTCCCCGCGTGGTGTCTCTGCGTGGTGTCTCTGTGTGTCCCCACGTGGTATCTCTGTGTGGTGTCTCTGCGTGTCCCCGCGTGGTGTCTCTGCGTGTCCCCGCGTGGTGTCTCTGCGTGTCCCCGCGTGGTGTCCCCGCGTGGTGTCCCCCCGCGTTGTCCCAGGTGGAGGTGGCCCGCGAGGAGCACTGCGAGTTCCTCCCGTTCGCGTCTCCGCGTCGCGTCGTGAAGCGCGGCGGCCGCATCTGCGCCGTGGAGTTTGCGCGCTCGGAGCAGCAGGAGGACGGCAGCTGGGTGGAGGACGAGGAGCAGAAGGTCGTCGTGAAGGCCGACTTCGTCATCTCCGCCTTCGGCTCCACGCTGCTCGACCCCGCCGGTGCGGGTGGCGACGCGGGGATTATCGCCACCGTCTCCATCCCGTTGGGATACGGAGACGCGAGGGCACGGGACGAATCGAACGGGGACACGGGACGAATCGAACGGGGATAGATGACACGACACCAACCAGCACGCATCCACTGTGTCTCTATCCTCGACTTCTCCCGCGTCCCGCCACGTCCCTCTGTCCTCGTGCCCCCCCTGCCCCCACCCCCCCACCGTATTTTGGGGCGCGTCTCTTCCCCTCCTTGCCTCCTCGACCCCGTGCGCCCGTACAAGACACGAGCCACGGTGGCTCGTAAGCACACCGCGTGTTGGAGGAGCGCAGGCTCCTTCAACACGACGAGGATTGGAGCGACAAAACTCGACCAACACTCTGCTGAAGTCCTCTCATCGTAGCCAGCAGACCACCGCACTGCCATCGAGCTCCTGAACGCACCGCCGCTGCCATCGTGCTCACGAGTAGAACTGCGCTCCCCCGCATCCCCCCCCCCCCCCCCCCGCGTCCTCCGGCGCCCGCAGCGTCGCCCACGCCCCCCGTGTTCTTGAAACCGTTGCCGTGCCCGCCAGCCCCGCGTTCCCCGATAACCCCGCGCGTCCCACGTGTGACCCCCCCCCACCGCCCTCACCGCAGTGTTGGGCGCGCTGTCCCCGCTGGAGCTGACGCGGCAGGGCGTGCCGCGCGTGGACCCCGCCACGATGGGCGCCAGCGAGCCGTGGGCGTTCGTCGGCGGCGACGTCGCCGGCCTCGCCAACACCACCGTGGAGTCGGTCAACGACGGCAAGACGGCCGCCTGGCACATCCACGCCTACCTGCAGGTACCGCGCGCGCACGTGCGTGGGTAGCCAACAGGTGCTCGCTAACAGCACTTGCCCCAACGGTCTGTCGCAGGCGCCACGGGGGATCCTCGTTGCATGGAGAGCGGCAGCGCGGTGGACAGTGCTGCCGCGCTACCAACACGGCGACACGGGTTGGATTCTCGCTAACGATTATCTGAACCGATCCTGCGCACGTGCCCCCCCCCCCCCCAGTCCCTGCACGGCGTGCCGGTGAGCGGCGAGCCGCGGCTGCCCCTCTTCTTCACGCCGATCGACACGGTGGACCTGTCCGTGGAGATGGTCGGCCTGCGCTTCCCCAACCCGTTTGGCCTGGCGAGCGCCCCGCAGTGCACCACCTCCGCCATGATCCGCCGCGCCTTCAACGCCGGCTGGGGCTTCGCCGTCACCAAAACCTTCGCCCTCGATAAGGCGAGCACGCGGTGCCAGTGTGCGGTGTGTGGTACGAGTCTGTGGTGCGAGTGTGTTGCGTGCGGTGCCAGTGTGCGGTGCGTGTGGTGCGGGTGTGTTGTGTGTGGGACTGTAGGTGTGGCTGTGTGTGCATGCGTTTGTCAATGTGTAGTGAGTCCAACTGAGGCAACACATTTATTGTAACATCAACACGTAACACAAAGGGGTGACTGCCCCTTCACCGAGGGTGGTGGCCACCCAGCTAACTACGAAGGGTCTGACCCTCACTCGGGTCCCGCGACCACCTGTAGAGCTTCAGCTTGTAGAATCCAGCGACCCCGGTCCCTCTCAGGGAGCCGCCTTATATCCCCCCACGGGTCGGGGCCGCTCCGCCCTCGGCCCCGCCCGCCTTCTGGAGCCTTCCAGCTCCCTCTCGATCCCTCTCGAGAGCTCTCCCCGGACACGTGATCACCCACTAGCCCCCCCCCCACCTGGGGCCCTCTCTGTGGACACTCCGGATCACGTGCCTGCGGGGTCAACCAGAGTGCCACGGCCCGGGGCAACTCTGCCCCTGGGGCTGACACTCTCCCGTTCCACACGCGCCGTGCGTGGTGCCGGCGCTATCCCAGCGCACGCCAAGCGCCGCTAGGGCTGGTCCCACACCCGCCTCCGGGGGGCACGACGTCGCCGCGTGGTGTGCGAGCGGTGGCGTAGTGGCTAACGCACTGCTCTTCGAACCCGGCGACCCGCGCTCCATTCCCGCTTACGGCCACCCACACCGGTGACGATTATCTGAACAGGTCCTGGAGGCCTCCCCTAGTTCGACTCGGCCCTAAATGAGTACCTGGTGCGGTGTGTAGTAAACATCAAAGGCGGCCGGGCGTGGTGCTGGCCTCCCACCCCCTCTCGTGTGTCCTGCCGGCCCTCACAGGCGCTGCTACTCACTATGGGGCCGTCCATAAATGACGTCACGCGATTTTGGACGATTTTTGACTCCCGTCACACGGCGTCATAAAAAGTCACAGACCCCCCCTCAAATATGACGTCACAAAGCTCTGCCCCTCCCCCCCAAACAAAAAAAAACCATGCTTCAAATCGCTTTAAACTATTGTCATTGTAGTGCGTATTTAATGTGGCGCTGCACTCTGATGTTGTAGGAGAAAGCATTTATTAAAAAGTCTATTTAATCGAGTAGAACGTGTTGTCTATGTTTATTTAAAGTTGCGCATTTTGACGTGACGTCACATTTCTCAACCCCCCCCTCCTCGTCACAAATGTCTGACCCCCCCCACCTCCCACTAGCTGCGTGACGTCATTTATGGACGGCCCCTAACACGACTTGCCCCCCCCGACAGCCTTTCGTCAACGGTTTACCCCGGGGGATCTTCGCGTGTGCGCCTGTCGTCAAGGTCGGGGTTGAGCGGAGGCGCCGCGCGTGTGTGTGCGTGCGTGCGGTGTGCGTGTGTGCGCGTGCGTGCGTGTGTGTGTGTGTGTGTGCGTGTGTGCGTGCGTGTGTGCGTGCGTGTGTGTGCGTGCGGTGTGTGTGCGTGCGTGTGCGTGCGGTGTATGTGTGCGTGCGGTGTGTGCGTGTGTGCGTGCGGTGTGTGCGTGTGTGCGGTGTGTGCGTGCGGTGTGCGTGCGTGTGTGTGCGTGCGTGTGCGTGTGTGTGCGTGTGCATGCGGTGTGTGTGTGTGCGTGTGTGTGTGCGTGCGGTGTGTGTGTGCGTGCGGTGTGTGTGTGCGTGCGGTGTGTGTGCGTGCGGTGTGTGTGCGTGCGGTGTGTGTGCGTGTGTGTGTGTGCGTGTGTGTGTGCGTGCGGTGTGTGTGTGTGCGGTGTGTGTGTGCGTGCGGTGTGTGTGCGTGTGTACGTGTGTGCGTGCGGTGTGTGTGTGCGTGTGTGCGTGTGTGCGCGTGTGTGCGCGTGCGGTGTGTCCAGGACCTGGTGACGAACGTGTCCCCGCGCATCGTGCGTGGCACGACGTCGGGGCCCCTCCTGGGGCCCGGCCAGGGCTCGTTCCTCAACATCGAGCTGATCAGCGAGAAGACGAGCGCCTACTGGTGCCACAGCGTCGCCGAGCTCAAGAGGGACTTCCCGGACAAGGTGGGGGGACGTCGCGGGGGGGGTGGGGGGGGAATGTGGGGGGGGAACGTGGGGGTGGGACGTGGTGGGGGGGGGAACATGGGGGGGGGGGAACGTGGGGGGGGGGGGAACGTGGGGGGGGGGGACATGCGGGGGGAGGGGGGGCAGGGGGAGTGGGCACATGGGGGTACCCAGAGACACAGTGGGGAACAGCAACGTAATTGGAACACAGAGAGACACATTACAGGTCACAGAGACACATTACAGGTCACAGCGACACATTACAGGTCACAGCGACACACTGTACGTGTGTATGTTGAACTTGAACCGTGTGTAGCCAACCGCGCTAATCGGAGGTGCAGGAGGAAGGGCAATACAAACAAAAAACAATCCTAAAGAAATTAATTTTCAATCTCGATGATGATGATTTAAGAGCGCATAGCTCCGAGTGGCTTCCTATGGGAAGGAAGAGCGTTCCAGACGGCCGCAGAAGCGCACAACTGAAAGCGCCGCGCGATGATGCAGTCACCACCGTCTTTGTTCGATGGCCGAGCCAAAAATCCGCCGCTGCGAGGATGATGAGCGGAGTTGGTGTGACGATGGTTTTATGGTCCTCGACGAGGGGACATGTCTGGGACGCGGAGACACGCGGAGACACGCGGAGACACACGGAGACACACGGAGACACACGGAGACTGCCGAGGACACAGTGACACATGCCCCTCGTGCGCCGTGCCGGCCTTCATAGGATCTGCTCGCGAAACAGCACTTGTCCCAACAGTCTGTTAAGGCTATCCGGGGGATCCTTGTGTGTGTGTACAGATTCTCATCGCCAGCATCATGTGCGGCTACATCAAGGAGGACTGGACCCAACTCGCCAAGATGGCCGAGGTGATCGTGGTGATATTGCAGTGGTGGTGGTGGTGGTGATGGCTATGATGTTGGCCACGATAAAGACGATGACGACGTTGATGGTAACAGTGGCGGTGGTGCGGCTGCTGGATGTGATGATGGCATTCATGGTGGTTGTGATATTGGTGATGGTAGTCGTTGGTGTTCATGATGGTGGTGACGATGGTTTGTGATGGCGTAGATGGTCGTGGCTGTGATGGTAGAGATGATGGCGGTGATGGTTGTGGTTGTAGTGATGGTGGCGGTCGTGATGATGGTAGTGATGATGGTAGTGATGACGGTGATGGTGTCGATGATGATGGTGATGTTGGCGATGTCTCCGCGGTTGCGCAGGAGTCGGGAGCCGACGCGCTGGAGCTGAATCTCTCCTGCCCGCACGGCATGGGGGAGCGCGGAATGGGGCTCGCGTGCGGGCAGGTGAGGGAGCACGCGGAGACACGGCGAGACACGGCGAGACACGGATAGACACGGAGAGACACGGATAGACACGGAGAGACACGGCGAGACACGGAGAGACACGGCGAGACACGGAGAGACACGGCGAGACACGGCGAGACACGGCGAGACACGGAGAGACACGGCGAGACACGGCGAGACACGGCGAGACACGGAGAGACACGGCGAGACACGGCGAGACACGGCGAGACACGGAGATACAGAGCAAGACATGAGACACGATGACACACGACGAGACATGGAGAGACACAGTGAGACATGATTAGAAACGATAGACGCAAAAAAAAACCAGTACACAACAGGACAGGTGAAAGAACACAGAGATGCAACAATACACAATGTGCGTGTACATGTGTGTGTGTGCAACATGCGTGTGTGTGCAACATGCGTGTGTGTGCAACATGCGTGTGTGTGCAACATGCGTGTGTGTGCAACATGCGTGTGTGTGCAACATGCGTGTGTGTGCAACATGCGTGTGTGTGCAACATGCGTGTGTGTGCAACATGCGTGTGTGTGCAACATGCGTGTGTGTGCAACATGCGTGTGTGTGCAACATGCGTGTGTGTGCAACATGCGTGTGTGTGCAACATGCGTGTGTGTGTGCAACGTGCATGTGTGCAACATGTGTGTGTGCAACATGCGTGTGTTCACGGGGAGCGGTAGTGTCGTGGTTAGCGCTACGCTGCACTACGAACCCGGCGAACCGAGTTCGATTCCGCTCACGGCCAACATCGGCGACGATTGTCTGAACCGTTCCTGGGCCTCCCCCAGGTCGACTCAACCTCAAATGAGTACCTGGTGCGGTGTGTAGTAAACATCGCCACTGGGGAGACAAAGGCGGTCGGGCGTGGTGATGGCCACCCACCTCCTCGTGTGCCGTGCCAGCCTGAATAGCTGCTCGCTTAACAGCACTTCCCCCAACAGTCTGTTAAGGCTATACGGGGGGGGGTTCTTTGTCTGTCTGGGTCCACATGTGCAGGACCCCGAGCTGGTGCTGAACATCTGCCGCTGGGTTCGCGCCACGGTCCGGGTTCCCTTCTTCGCGAAGATGACCCCGAACATCACCAACATCGTGGTGATCGCGAGCGCCGCCAAGGAGGGTGAGCCCCCCGCGGCCTTCCCGCCCCATTCGAGCAGTGGGGTAGAGCTGGGGGGGGGGTGAGGGCGGGCGGGCGGGGTACGCGGACCCTTGGTGGGTAATGCGGCAATGTCCGGTGGTGGGATACGGCGAGGTGATTTATAAAACGCGCGAAATCATATCGTGCGCGAGTCGTTGGTGAGCAATCGCGTTGCGTGCACCTGCCAGTGTAGAACAACTGCGGTAGAACGTGAATCCATATGGTGACCCGGAGCGATATGAAACACCTTTCTGAAGACGGTGGTCGTGAAACGTTGTGGGTTTCCAAGCGTGACCAGAGAGCGTGAACGAATGACGGGGGCGCGTGCGGAGGGTCCGTGCGTTTTTTATTTTTTATTTCGCTTGCAGTTACGAGCTGCTTAGGATCTATCCCTCTCTATTCGAGACCGACACAGGAGGAGGATTTCTCCACAATTCTTTGCCGTCGCCCGACGATGCCGGCTGCAGCTACTGGCGAAGCGTCACACGGGTGCTCGAATTGTAAATGTGTCAGTGGGTTCACTCTCCAAACACACAGCTGGTGTGTGCTGGACCAGTTACGAACAGTCACGTTTTGTTTACGTGGGCAAACCCTTACCAGTAGGCTGTGTCTCCCGGCAGTGTTGGGGTTTAACGACATTCATATTAACGCGATCTAAACCCAAACAAAACTTATGGATATTGGTCGCGAAAGCCCCACTGAGCGTTAAAGTAACCAGCGAACAAATGACGTCACGCACGCGGAGGGTCTGTTTTTTTTTAATTCGCTTGCAATTAACTCGCTAGCTGGGATTACCACCAAAAATGGACAATAGGTTCAAATGTTGACGTTCATTATTCATACGTTTATTTCTCAGAACCATGTTCAGAAATTGGAATAAATTTATTCATAACTGGAGGAAATCCGATGAGCTATGAAGCTCTTTTTTTCACAGTTGTCCAGTCGGGGCACGAGGTAAGAACGTTACAAACAGTACAAAAACACCATCGGAGTGCAAAGTAAAAAAAAAACAGGTAAACACATCTCCCAAACACACACAAATAAAACTAAACCATCCCCCATCCTACCAGACAAAACCCCACCGAGGTATGAACTTATTGTTGATTAAGCGACCTGGCCACCAATGATAGCTCAACATTGCGGCCCATCATCTGGACGTTTATAGCAGCAACAATAATCTCAACAGTCGAAACCGCATGTGGGGTCAGACAAGGGGTGAGGGTGCTGGCTTATTCGGTCGAAACAAAATTCAACAGCAGCCAAAAAAGAAAGTTGTAAGGTCGACAATGACCACCACTGCGTTAGAGGCCACGCCGGGGTTGTGGATCTTTTGTCTTTCGTGCGCGCGCGAGCAGGGGGGGCGGACGGCGTGACGGCCACCAACACGGTATCGGGGCTCATGGGCCTGCGCGCCAACGCACGTCCGTGGCCCGCGGTGGGGGTCGAGCAGAGGACCACGTACGGGGGCATGTCCGGTGAGACCGCCTCGTCCACAATCTCCGCAGCAACCACGGCAACAGCAACAACCATCACGATAACCACCACACGGCCCGCCACTTCACGTCACAATGAAACCACACCGTCGCTGCTCACCGTGCCACACCACAGTCACGGCACAAGCGCTATACACCAGTGGCGTGTTCGGCGAGACGGCCGCCAACCACAACCAACCGCCGCACTGCACACCACTCGCCATGCCACACCGCAATCACGGCACAAGCGCTAGACCGTCACAACCACACCAATGCACACCACACCTTGTCCGGTGGGACCGCACCACATCCACGCCACAACGCTGCACATCCCACCGTGCCACGGGATACGAAAGCACCACCTGTCACTTACGGCTTTATTGAACGCGTTTATGCAGGAGTCCTGTATCCAGAAGTCTGACCCCTGTGCACATTGCCTGCGTGTGCCCGCAGGCAATGCCATCCGCCCCGTGGCGCTGCGGGCCGTGTCGGCCATCGCCCAAGCGCTGCCGGGGTTCCCCATCATGGCCACGGGCGGCATCGACTCGGCAGAGGCCGGCCTCCAGTTCCTGCACTGTGGGGCCTCTGTGCTGCAGGTGGGGGCGCTGTGCTGCTGCTGTGTGTGCATAGTGCACACACAGCAGCACGTGCGTGGGGTGTGCATGTTGTGAGCGCGTCCGTGCGCACGTGTTGTGTGTCCGCGCGTCTGATGAGCGTGCGCCCTGCTTTGGGCATGCACGGATGTGGTGTGTTGCAGTGTACGTGTGGGCATTCACGTGCCGTGCGCACGTGCCGTGCACGCTGTACGTGCCGTGTGTACGTGCCGAGCGCTGTACGTGCCACGCCGTGCGTGCGCGCGCCCCGTAGGTGAGCAGCGCGATACAGAACCAGGATTTCACGCTGATCGACGACTACTGCTCGGGTCTGCGAGCGCTCCTCTACCTGGGCTCCATGGACGAACTCCGCTCCTGGGAGGGGCAGAGTCCCCCCACGGCGCCGCACCAGCGCGGCAAGGTCCTGCCCCGCCTACCGCAGCTCCTCGGCAAGGTGGGCTCGCCGGCTCGGGGGCCGTCGTTGAGGGTCCAGAGGGGGCAGCAGGGGCCAAGGGCTGTGGGTTACCGGGCGACACTACAACCACGATGACAAACACCGCAGCAGCAACCGCAATTGGCTCTCGTTCAGGTCGGGGCGCTGCGGTGGCTAAGAGATGTTAACTCCCTCGCCTGGTATGCAGGAAGTCGCGGGTTCGATCCTGACCCGGACGCCTGCTGTATACTTGGAGTTTGCGTGTCTCTCTCTCTTTCTCTCTCCATGGTCGCGTGGATTTTTCTCCGGTTTTTCCCTCCACATTTAGAATCGCACGCTTTTAGAGTATTTGGCTGCGATGAATTTCCATGATGATAAGCCATTTCGTTGAGCTATAATTTGTGATAGCCAGGTCGCTTCTGAAAAAGAGATGTTATAGCTCAGCGGGTCTCATCTGATAAAATATAAATTATTTATAGTTAGTTAATAGGTGGTAGCAGATCACAACGTTGCCTGATCGTGGGAGAAGGCCTTCATCCAGCAGTGGACTGACCGTGTTTGACGATGTTGGTGATGCTGTTGGTATTGCTGTAACCTGCTCATTTAAGCGGTCCTTGCAACCTCTCCCTGCTCTGAGAAGAAAGAGAGATGCGAGGTCTTCCCTCCCGCGACCGCTGCCCGGCTCGCAGCGACGCGTCTCTCACCCCGTGTCTCTCCCCCCGTGTCTCTCCCCCCGTGTCTTGTCCCCCGTGTCTTGTCCCCCGTGTCTCTCCCCCGTGTCTCTCCCCCCGTGTCTCTCCCCCCGTGTCTCTCCGCCCGTGTCTCGTCCCCCGTGTCTCGTCCCCCGTGTCTCGTCCCCCCGTGTCTCGTCCCCCCGTGTCTCTCCCCCCGTGTCTCTCCCCCCGTGTCTCGTCCCCCCGTGTCTCGTCCCCCCGTGTCTCTCCCCCCGTCTCGTCCCCCACGTCTCGTCCCCCACGTCTCGTCCCCCACGTCTCGTCCCCCCGTGTCTTGTCCCCCGCGTCTTGTCCCCCAGAGCCTCCCGCACTTCGGGCCCTTCCTGGAGGAGCGGCGCCGTTTACTCGCCGAGGCGAAGCTGCGGGGCGGAGAGATGGCGGCCCCCACCACGGAGCCCCTCCACGCGCCCAGCAAAGCCACCCCGCATGTCAAGGTGGCGAGGGACACGGGGGACAAGGGGACAGAGACACAGGGGTACTGGGGCACAGCATCATGGGGCCACAGAAAGATCAAGGCACAGGGCTACTCGGGCACAGCAACATGGGGCCACACAGAAAGACACGGAATACCACCAGGGCCACAGAGCTAGGGACATGGGGCCCAACGAGACACAGGAATCCAAGAGACCCAATGACCTTTGGCCATCACCCCAGGATGTGATTGGCCGGGCTCTGGCGCACATTGGCTCGTACGCCGAGCTGGACAACTCGCAGCAGGTCGTGGCCGTGGTGGACCCAGAGCTCTGCATCAACTGCGGGAAGTGCTACCTGACGTGCAACGACTCGGGATACCAGGTGCGTGGCAGTGCGCGTGTGTCCACGCGGTTTATATGAAGACACTCGACGAGGCCTCGACGTGCACAAGCACCATGGCGATATCACCGCCAGTTAGTGGCGAATGGTGGTTGCTGTTGTATGTAAAATGTTGGCACAGTAGGGGGGAGGGCACAGGTAGTGGGAGCGTCTGCCAGTCAACTCCATGGCTCCACCTGGGTCTGTCCCGTGACATCCTGCCAAAGGGGGCGTTCGGCACTTCTGCGTGGCGTTAAAAGTGCACATAGCCTGGAACGAGTGCCGTGGTGAAGTCACCGCCACTCGGTAACGAATGGCGCTTGTTGTTGGCATAAGTAATCGCCTGTAAGCACACCCACGTGTGCGCATGGGTAGCGGTGGTGCAGCGGTTAGTGTGCCGCTCTACGAACTCCGGCTTAGACCCCCGGTCACCAACACCGGTGACGATTAGCTGAACTGGTCCTGGGCCTCCCCTAGGTCTGGTCGGCCTCAAATGAGTACCTCGTCGTGGCGTGTGTAACCATCATCGCTGGGAGACAAAGGCGGCCGGGCGTGGTGAGGGGCCACCGCACACCCCCTTGTGCACCGTTCTGGCCGTCTTGGGTGCTGCTACTCGCGAACAGTACCTGCCCCAACAGTCTGATGACGGCGACACGGGGGATCTCTGTGTGTGTGTGTTTGTGCAGGCGATAGAGTTTGGCGGGCACGACCATGTTCCGCTCGTGACCGATCGCTGCACAGGCTGCACGCTGTGCCTCAGCGTGTGCCCCATCCACGACTGTATCACCATGGTGACCCGCCCCACGCCCTACATCCCCCAGCGTGGCGTGCCCGTCGCGGTGTAACAACGCAACTACCACCAAGACATGCACCACAACCACGTACGCGGTCACCGCCACTACCAATTGCATACCTCATCACCACGACTACCACCGATGTCACCACCACAAATGACGCAATAACACGATCCCCAGCACTGCTGCAAATGCCTGCGACCATCGCCTCTGCACTCGAAGTTTTAGCCATGCTTTTAAATTGCTCGATGAAATGCGCAATATGGGTATATTCTGTGATTAAACCTTAAATAAATTTATCTACACTTTTATAAATCTCTACATCGCGATGCGGCCGAATGATTTAGCGCGAGCCACGTGATGCGGCGACAGGTGGCTTTCTTGTCGCGGCCTTGGTGAATAAATTGGCCACGGCGTGGCGGCAGTGCCCTTAGGTGTCACCCCACGGTACTCATGGCAACACGCAGAGAAGCACGGTACCCACGGCAACACGCAGAGAAGCACGGTACCCACAGCAACCCGCAGAGAAGCTCGGCACCCACGGCAACATGCAGAGAAGCTCGGTACCCACGGCAACACGCAGAGATTCTCGGTACCCACGGCAACCCACAAAGAAGCTCGGTACCCACGGCAACCCGCAGAGAAGCTCGGTACCCACGGTGACCCGCAGAGAATCTCGGTACCCACGGCAACACGTAGTGAGGGACGGTACCCATGGCAACCCGCAAAGAAGCACGGTACTCACAGCAACACGCAGAGAATCTCGGTACCCACGGCAACACGTAGTGAGGGACGGTACCCATGGCAACCCGCAGAGAAGCACGGTACTCACAGCAACACGCAGAGAATCTCGGTACCCACGGCAACCCGCAGAGAATCTCGGTACCCACGGCAACACGTAGTGAGGGACGGTACCCATGGCAACCCGCAGAGAAGCACGGTACTCACAGCAACACGCAGAGAAGCACGGTACCCATGGCAACACATAGTGAGGGACGGTATCCATGGCAACATCGCTCCCTCCCCCCACAGGGGCTGATCAACTACTGCGGATTGTCTGTTTATGAAAAAAGCAGCAGCAGCCCTTCCAATAAAAGAAGGATAGTACCCAATACCAAACGCATTAAGAGCCATGGGTAGCCACAAGCAGATGATTAAGGGCTGGATTGAGTGGGTGGGAGGGGTGAGTGGGATGGATGATTGTGAAGAAATGAGTAGGTGAATAAGTTGGTGAATGGGTAAAGTTGGTGGACGAAGAGTTCACGATTCGCGGATGAGTGACTTTTAAAGTGGACAAGTGAGTGGGTGGGCGAGGTGTGTCCCCAATAGAGCGATGATGGGAATCCAGCCCGCTGGTGAGGGAAACGTGGAATAGCGGGAGCAGAGATGCTCGGCACCGTCACATGGAGCCAATATGGAAGCGTGGAATTTCCACCCCTGACTCAGGGGCTGCGAATGGGAGATGGCAGCAAACACCTCGAATCCTCGATGCTCATCCGATTGGCAAAACGACTCTTTCCCTTATTTAGGAAAATGCCAGCGCAACCTTTTCTCTTGAGCGGAATACATGGGGGTGGGGGAAGTCCAATGTGTTTACGAATCATTTCCTCACAATAAAAAATACATAAACTAAACACTGTTTTGTAAGAGGAACGGTTTACATATACATTTTTTTGTTTCCCAGAGAAGGGTTATTTGGACACCGCACCGGGCGGGGGGTAGCTTGTGTAAAAAGCCCAAGTGCCGGGTTCCGGCGATACTCGGCTCTATATTTGGGGAGGATTCACTGCTCATGATACGTTCACCCACAGCGAGATCGTGGAGAGGGAGGCGGGAGGGGGGGGTCAGAGGGAAGTTAACAAATTCTCTTTCACTAGAGTCCAGTGGGGCCAAGTTAGATTCCCACTGCTCCCACCAACCCAGAAACGGCTTTTGGGCTCCTGGGATGCAGAAAATGATGTTACAATTTGTCGAGTTCGTTGTCCATCCCCCGCACCTCCGATTAGCACGGTTGGCTACGTACGGTGCAAAAGAAGTTCAACATACGGGTACACAGAACCATGCATGGGTAAAAAGGGAGACAGATGGCTAGCAATGGAATTGGGGTGATGAATTTGGTTGGTGTTGTGGTTAGGGAGAGGGATGAGATGAAAATAGGCGTTAGGGTTTGACGAGAAGCAGCAAGTCGCACAACATGACCACCCACTCATTTATACACATTTACAGAGGACTGAGTCAGCCTTGGATAATCATAACAATACTCATGATGATTTATAGCCCTTAACCCACGACCGCATCAAGGCCTCCACATGCAGCGTAACCACACTTTGGTTCTTTCGGTAAACTCGTGTAGGTATAAAATAAAATCACGACGTTTCGATCGCAACACAAGCGATCAGCAGTTCTCCTGCTGTATCTGTTCCACCTGATGACTGCTCAGCAGGAGAACTGCTCACCGTCATCAGGTGGAACAGAACTGCTCAGCACTTCTCTTGCTGTATCTGTTCCACCTGATGACTGCTCAGCAGGAGAACTGCTCACCGTCATCAGGTGGAACAGAACTGCTCAGCAGTTCTCCTGCTGTATCTGTTCCACCTGATGACTGCTCAGCAGGAGAACTGCTCACCGTCATCAGGTGGAACAGAACTGCTCAGCAGTTCTCCTGCTGTATCTGTTCCACCTGATGACTGCTCAGCAGGAGAACTGCTCACCGTCATCAGGTGGAACAGAACTGCTCAGCAGTTCTCCTGCTGTACCTGTTCTACCTGATGACTGCTCAGCAGGAGAACTGCTCAGCAGTTCTGTTCCACCTGATGACGGTCGCTTGTGTTGCGATCGAAACGTCCTGATTTTATTGTATTTTCTACCTACTACGTGACTTTACCGAAAGAACCAAAGAGTATGGATCCCTGCAGTCACGAAAACTTCAAATCTAGATTGTAACCACACTGGTTAGTGTGGATGGGTGAAGGGAGAGTGCCCAGGACCGGTTGTAACATCACCCGCCGCTGATATTAGCCTTTCCCGGAGCGTCGCGGTGGCTAGGAGATGTTATCTCCCTCGCCCGGTATACAGGAGGTCGTGGGCTCCATCCCGACCATGACACCTGTATATTTGGAGTTTTTGCATGTTCTCCCCGTGGTCGCGTGATTTTTTTTCTCCGGGTCCTCGGGTGCTTCTCTCCACATTTAGAATCAATGTCATGCGTTTACACTATTTGGCTACTGCTATACATTTCTACGTGATAAGCCACCACTTCGTTGTGCTATCATTTTTGATTGACAGGTCGCTGCTGAAAAGGAGCTGTACGGCCCAGTGGGCCGTACCTGGTAAAATAATAGTTTATTCGTATAGTTTTAGTAAACTCAGGCGGCAAGGTTCAGAGCGCAGTGCACTAACCCACTGCTGGCCTGTAAACACCATGTGATTCTTAATTGACAAGAGCATGCCATTGGTGTGGCCGCGTCAGAGTACAATTCCCACATTTGCCGCCCGAGACTCTGTTAAAGTGTGGAGCGCCACACAGCAACAATCTGTAGCATTATTAGGTCAAAGGCCTCAATAAAAAAAAAATACAAAATCACCCGGGATGTGCCCGATATCATATCTTGAACGGCAAGCATGTTTGACGCCTGGCATAGTCCTTGGATGGGGGCGCACCGCGCAGGGCCGCTGGGCTCTGTGGTGGGAAGCAAAATTAACTGCTGTACCATACTTCTATGTTCCCACGCATATGCTCCCCGACTTCACCAAACCTACACAGACCACTATCAGGCGAGAGCCATCTGAGACACCAGAAGGCAAAGTCAAACCCTGCCCAATATCTACACAACTGTCCTATCCACCTCGACTCCTCTCTCTTAGCATTCAAATCCCTCCTCACCCCCCCCCCTACCTTCCAACTTGGGCCTTTCCCACTGCACCGATGTTTTCCCTTTGTTAGTGTTCCCCCATACCAACATTTATTTTTGGTGTCATGTCACGTGACGAATAATCAATGTCGGGGGGATTGTGGAGGCCTTCATCCAGCAGTGGATTGAGGCCTTCATTCAGCAGTGGATTGACCATGGCTGGTGGTGGATTGAGGAGGCCTTCATCCAGCAGTGGATTGACCATGGCTGGTGATGGATTGAGGCCTTCATCCAGCAGTGGATTGACCATGGCTCGTGATGGATTGAGGAGGCCTTCATCCAGCAGTGGATTGACCATGGCTGGTGATGGATTGAGGTCTACATCCAGCAGTGGATTGACCATGGCTGGTAGTGGATTGTGAAGGCCTTCATCTAGCAGTGGATTGACCATGGCTGGTGATGGATTGAGGCCTTCATTCAGCAGTGGATTGACCATGGCTGGTAGTGGATTGAGGCCTTCATCTAGCAGTGGATTGACCATGACTGGTGGTGGATTGTGGAGGCCTTCATCCAGCAGTGGATTGACCATGGCTGGTGATGGATTGAGGCCTTCATTCAGCAGTGGATTGACCATGGCTGGTAGTGGATTGAGGCCTTCATCTAGCAGTGGATTGACCATGACTGGTGGTGGATTGTGGAGGCCTTCATCCAGCAGTGGATTGACCATGGCTGGTGGTGGATTGAGGAGGCCTTCATCTAGCAGTGGATTGACCCTGGCTGGTGATGCCCGAGGGAGGACAAGACGATTGTTTATCGCTATCTCGCCCACTAAAGACTCATCCTGTACCTCGTGAGATTAATACGTTTATTTTGTTTTCACATTTCTTTCAAGTGATTCGTTTACCCTTCCCTGTACTCTGCACTCCTATCGTGTTTTTTCGTGTTATTTGTTGTTGTAACATTCTTACCCCGGAAATCTGTGAAGAAAAGAGCTATATAGCTCATCGCATTCAGTCTAAAACTCTAAATATTGAGACTGAACGTTGCAACAAAGAGCGCTAAACACACAAACGGTAACACAATTTAAGCCTCCCGAACGAACCCCACACGACTAAAATCACAACAGACCACCCCTAGAGTACCTTCTTTAAACAACAACAAAAAAACACAACAGCCGGCGCTTTAACAAACGCGATTCGCATTCATTGGCGATGTCAAAACTGCAAACAAAACTTTTGACAGCGCCTCCACAAACACCCCAGCCCTGTCGCTCGCCACTCAGCAAGTCGAGCGCCGTACAAGTCAACGGAGGCCTAAGCGGCGGCTGAGCGCTCGTGACCCCCCGGGGGGGGGGTGGAGGAGTACCGCGTCCCGGACTCTCCTCTCGCTCGACTCGCCGCGTCTCCCCGTCACCTGCCGGGCCCGCGTCCCGTCCGTCGGTGAACGGGAGGCCGAACGGATTCCGTCTCGTCCATTGTGACCGTGCACTGGAGTAGCGGGGCTACACGAGCAGCCACGGCGACGTTGACGTCATCTCGCTACAATGGTGACGTGACGTCATCGCGCTTCAACGGTGAC